GTCGCAGGTCGCTAGGTGCCTCCTGGTAATTCGGATTCTTCGTATCCAACATGGGCGCAGCGTTCGACATGCGGCGTTTCCTCTGGGTTTTCGATGCCTCTAGCGTCCAATGCATCTCTCTCAATTGCTCCCGCGTCGATAAAGCGTGGAATAGCCGGCTGAATGTGAAGTCATAGTTCTGATGGGGCCCAACTAGTCTTTCAAAATTGGGACAAGCCATGATGACAGAGGCGATGAGATTCTGATATTGCTCGGCATGGACACCCTGGGGAACAGCGGGCGCTTTCAAACTGCGAACTAGGATGGCAATTCCAGTATTCGACCTCAAAGTGCGGCGGAGGAGCACTAGCCGAGATCCATAGCTGATCTTCAGGCGTTTCTTCTGTGTTTGCGAATCCGCGCCGACCAGTTGAATATCCTCATACCTGAGCCATTCAATTAGTTTCGTACACCTCCTTAAAACTTCAGGGTAACTTACAGTGCTACCCGCGCAACCTTTAGCAGCTTCTTGGCAGACACGGCAACGGAGCACAGATCTCTCATCATACAAGTCGCACAGCTAGGACTGCTAGGTTTCAGATGCGATTCCTTCAGTCTCTGCAATATAAGACTCAAGACTTCCTCCGGGAGGGCGGCGAAAAGCTCGCCTTCTTCTCTCCTCCGCCTATATTGTTTTATCGGCCCAGGTCGCTGCCATCCATTTTCCGACTTTCGAGAAGTGGATTGCCAAGATTCGAAGCTCGTCCTACTACTAGTGGGGGATGCCAGGATCGCGTCGAAGGTGTCTTTAGATCCAACAGAACTCGTCACGCTCGAGCTGGTGGAGGGTCGCCGTTGGTAGACGGTGGGTTGCGAGGCAATCTGCGCATAGTTGCCGGCCATCGCTGCTGGAGGCATTTTGGTCGGCCGCTGCGCATTATGGGCATATGCCGGGCCCATTGCATCGTAAGTCGAACGATTCATCGCCGCGGCAGAATCGGCACCTGGAAAACTGCGCCAAGGGTACAACTCGGAAGGGTATCCAGATCTCCCAGGAGGACCGTGTATGAATGCCCTCGGACGACCGACCGGAGTGCGCACAGCTTCAGGTTTCAATAGGTTGTTGTCCTCATATCTAGGTCGATAGCCCGCAACATGTGCAGAGGAGTAGGACCTCTGATGTTGTATAAGTCTAAAAGGCCCAATTAAAAAAAGGAGGTTAGCACAACAGCCGAACTTCCTAGGCAAAACAACCCGCAAGGGTAAAATTGAGGATCAACACAGGTTTTAGGTAAATCTAGAGAATTAAAAGAGAACAAGTGCAGTGCAAGTAGCGTAGTATGTACCGCGGGATGGGACGATGTCACTCCAACCCCCAAACGGCTCCTTTTCCAACACGTTTTAACCTAAACGCCTGCAAGGATATGTGCATGCGCGACAAAGCAAGCAATTCGTCGAGCTTGCAGGAGAACTGCCAGGTATATGCGGACGCACATAAAATAGGAGTGGGCATTCGCGTAGCGAAGCCAGGCCAGGCTAAAGACGACGACAGATCAAAAAAAGCCTGTTGCCGTCCATTCTAGAAAGAGGGAAAAAAAGAACTCATCCCATGGTACCGATACCCGAGTGTTCACAGGACCTTATTCTCTTCTGCTAGAACAGCGCCGTACCTGCTTAGCGGCTCATAGCGCGAGGCTGCTCGCGTGTGTACCTGGCACTAGCAGACGACCTGAACCAGGTACACGAGGTGGCGCTCCAGGGTGGAAATTAAACCCCTGAATGGACAAGGCCAGGGCCCCGCTGAGTGCCCTGCTTAGCGTCCATTTATGGGCTCATACAGTGGTATAATGCCAGGAACTCTCGACCAAAATAGGTAAATCAACGCCAAATCAATACACTGACCAAGGAAACGGATATGCAGTACAGTACTTAGTTACTGTGCAATGTTACACATCGCAGGTGTAATTGACTGAGATAGTATGTGTATGCGAAAGCAAGACGGAAAGAGGAGAACTTTGGAATTAAGATTTGCCCTGTTCTGTGGGCCCTGGAAGCATCGGCTTTCGAGATCTTCAGGCGAAGATCTCAGAAGACCGGGGTGTGGTTCTCGCCCATCGCCTATTTCGGAAACGATGGGAATCCAATTTTGGATCCATTCGGAAATTTATAAAACACAAAAAAAAATGGACCACTCACGATGGGCTAGGCGTAGGCTTGGAGCTGATGGCATTTGTAGTTTTCGCCTGAAAAGTGTGGCGTTTTCTGGTGGTATTAGTGAGCTCCTCTCCCCTCTCTAGTACTTCCTCACTGTGCCGCCTAGTAGAGGCGCTGGCTATCGCCTGGCGTCGATGCGCTGAAGCTGGCGCTGCTAGTGCGGGTGCTAGCGCTGGTGCTGACGCCGACGCTGGCCCTGGGGCTGGAAGCGAGCTTCTCTTCTTTATCTTGCGCGCCGCTGGCCGGGGACGAAAGAGGTGATGGTATGCCGCCGACGATCGCCACGAGGATTCTGTATGAGTTGAAGATTCCATTGTCGGATGATGCCATGCATCCATTCATATAGGTACACGTATAAGAAAGAGAAGTAGCCTTCGATCTGCGACCACGAATCCCACTCGAATACGATGCTGCACGATACTGTGGGTATTTAGAGAAGGGTGCCGTTGCGTTGCCGTAACCTTCAGGAATAACGCACAATCTCTTGTAACGAGCAACGAGTTAAGGCGGGCTGCCTGGTTGGATAGGGCAAGGGTGCAAGTTCGAACGTCGGGTAGTTTGCAACCGCGGGTTTCATGTTTCAGGCAACGACATCGTCTTGAATGGTCCGGGTTTCGTGTTACTTGCAGCGCCAACCAGTCAGTTAGAATCGGGGCTAACTTTTCGAGACGTGAATGACGGTAGCAACGTGGGCCCCCTCAATGTATATATATATACTAACGTGAAATTCAGTTTGCGCCAGCAAGGCTAGATATAGATAGACCTCGAGAAAGAATACAGAAATAAAAGAGCCGTGAAACCATCTGTCAGAGGACAGCCTCAAGACTAATTATAGTGTCTCAGTCGGACACCCCACGGAGCAGAGCTGGCTAAACGCTTCTACCTGATGCTGCTGCTGTAGGGCAGTCCATAATACGTTAGATTGTCGACTCTAGCAAAAATAAAGACAACGCATAATGGAAACATTCGCTACCGCCCCGTAAGCTGATTTGCTGGCTCTCCCCACGGACGGACAGACGGACATGGTCGAGCATGGCTATGGCTGTTTTCGTATGCAACGTGTGGCGGAGCCTGGTCGTCCTGAAGTGGTGATGGCGTGTTGACGAAAGCTACGCATAGGTAACGGTCAACGGCCAAGACTTGCTCCCGCTCTGTCCTATCAATGCGTGGTGTATATGCTATACGCTAGACAACATACACGCATACACTACCTCCGCCACGATGTTCAGCTAAGGTAGGCCACTCAGATCTTATACCTACACCAGAATAGATCGCTACCATTCGCCGCTCGGTAGTGTCAGATGCCCAGAGAATCGGCTGCGCTTCTAGTGACAATATAAAGGCCTATAGGCCAATAGCTGAGGTCGGAAGCTGAAGGTTTCCCCAGCAATAAACCTGGCACCCCCGGCTGCAGTCTAGAACCGACGACGGGCTTACAGTAGGTATTATGCATGAGCATGTCGCCCTTGTGACGTAGGGCGCTTGACGTAGGGTGCCCGACTCGATATGCATACATAATCATCACAAAGACAGAATTACGGGAAAAGGCACGAGGCCATATCGACGCAGTGGCTGCCTACTATCTGTGCATAGATGTGTAGAATTGCCTCCATCCCTACCCTTTCTTTCCTTGAAGTCCACCTACGGTGGTGAGAGTGCCTTCCTTAGCTCTGTAAAGAGCCAGCCGAGTTTAGGAAGGTCACCATGCAGTAGTCTCTCGTACTTGCGAGTTTTAGTCATCTTATCCCACGCCGCAAGCATGACCAAGAGGCCGGAAGTGGATACCGGAGAAGGATCTCTCGATCAGCCAACGCCGGAGGGAATCTCGCATGCTGACCGACCGGTAAAGGAGGCTCTATTCAATCTCATGCGTTACCTATTACCGCGATTCTTATCGACTTGGCAATGGCACCTTCGTCCCGTGTATCGGAGAACGCGACGCCTACCTCTAGGTAGGTAGCTTACACATGCACAAGGCAAAGGTAACCCGCTGGAAAGCAAAACAGGCGCGTGTTCTGCATGCACTCAATCTCGATTGGGTGACATGAAACTCTCTGTTCTGTTGAGGGAGGGGCAGTCAAGTATGTACGGGAGGGGGTGAAACCTTCCCAGTTGGGATGGGGTGAATAACATCAACCTGTCAGCTGTGAGTATCATCCTTTCCCCGCAGATGGGTAGAGCTAGTTCTCTTCGGTGTGAGTATCATTGGTCTACAGTTTTCGCAGGAAAACACTGCCATGTATGACACAAGTTGTATTTATAGGTATCCATTTCCATTATAGTTCATAATCTAGACGGGATGTTATATATCACGCCTTGAACCCCAAAACCAGTATTTACTTAGAATAAGTGATGACTCATTACAAGCTTTACATCTACCAGATGGTAAACAGGCTGAAGATGCAGCAAATGAATGATGTAATATTCATAACTGACATCTAGTTGTTATTCTTCTCTTCCTTTTGCAATAGTTAGGTAGCACCTAATAGGTAGATCTGACAATAGGTACCAAATCATAAGGCGATCGCTACAAAAACCTCATCTAGGTATGCTCCCGCATTTGGTCTCACACAGTCCTTCTCATCAACCCCTTCATCTCGCTCTTGGGAATAATATTTACTTGATTTAATCTTGTTGTATCCCTTTAAGGACTCGCTCGGCTTCGTGACTTTAGAAGGTGGAATGATTATATTGATATATCCAAAATATGCAATATGCCCCGTTATTCAACTTTTCTGTCGCGGAGCCAAGCGGGTCCCTAAAGGTATAAGTAATAATAAAGGCAGATGACCCCAATCATGACAGTTGCCCCATTGGCCTAATGGTCTCAAGGCGTGTGACTTCTAATCACAAGATTGCGAGTTCGAGTCTCGCATGGGGTTCTCTTCTTTTTTCTATTTTAGCTTATTCATTTTTGCACCCTTTTTTAAGTAGCGGTATCACCAGTTTAGCAATGCAACCTTAATAGTTGAATAAGTGACACCAGCGACCCTAGTGTTGTATGTTTTTACTTTTTAATCCCCCTACTTTCCCCAGACCGAGGCTTCGTGACGTCTCTTTTAATATACTGATATAGTCAACAGAGGAGAGCGTCGTTAATCTCAGGTTATATTGACAGTTCGCTAGGAACGGGCAGAAAGCTAGTATATACGATGCCAGCTAGATGTGTTATGTTCAGTTACAATATATGCAGTAACAAAATCATCCCTTCGTTAACCATCAAATGCCAATGGTTCTTAAACCCAGCCATCCCTGGCTCTACTAAACATGACCCAATAACACCTTGCTCCCGATATATTGTAGCACTTAATTGATACACTTCCTAGTCAGCCCAAGCAACTCGCGCTCGACGTTTGATTGGGCGCTCGGAAACTTCCACTCCATTGAGGGCTTCACCACCCGAAGCATCAGTGGGATCTGGGCTTAATGTTCGCTTACGCCCTCCGTTGAGTTTGAATGGGATTTGTACGTCGTCATGTGCCTTTGCAGGATTGCTGTTCTTCTTTGCCTCTGGGCTACCCATTATCAGGCCGTCGTCCGGGTCGAGCGTTCGCCGTCCGAACCCTCTACCAAACACGTACTGTGGTGATGATAGCAGCGCAGTCTGCTCTAAGCCCTCCTTTGCGTTAGTCATTGGGTGGATTTTAGGATTTCGAATCCATTCTTTGATCTTTCCGTCGTCTAGGATACTTTTCATCCTACTGTGCTCCGCCTGTGTCATATGCTCTCGACGATCTATCATGACTTCCTCGATACTGTTCCGTAGAACCAATGTTTCAACTGCAACGGGTTTCTTTTGGCTGACTCGACGGGCTCTTCCGATTGCCTGAGCCGCAACTTGCGGGTTTAATACTGGCGAAATGAAGTATATTCTTGAAGCACTCCGCATATCGAGACCAAATGCAGCTTGACTAATATCCATCAATAATACGCGAAACTTCTGGCTTTCCGTAAAGGAAGCCACATATTGCGCTCGCCTTTCCGCACTTAGGCCGGCCCTCGAATAAATCAAGTGCTGAATTTGGAGCTATCATATAGCGTTAGCCTTGAAGGCATGAGACACGAGGAAATAAGGGGTCACTCACAATCTCGAGAACACTAGCAAGATAGAAGGCAACATTGTCGTTGTCGTAGAAGATGAGAATCTGCTCGTTATCCTGATACTTGATTATCGAGTCAATTAGGTATGAAAGTTTTGCTGAAACGGTGGAAATAATGCTCGTCTTAGCAAGAGGTGCGGCAACGTCAATGCTATTTTGAAGATCAACTCCTATACGGGGATGCGCCTCGACGCCATTGAGAGTTGAATCGAGAATATTCTTCGATTTCAACGTCGTGTGGTAGTCGCCACCAAGTAATGTATTACCGGCCAGCGCCGTTGCCTGAGGAGTTTGATTTGTGGCGTTATCATCAGCGTCAGAGGCCGCCGCTAGTGCCTGTGATCGTTCAGCTACTCCCTGTTGATCTAAACTACCGTTATCAATCATGAGTTGAAGAGAAGTCGGAGCATCAAGGCACGGGGTCAAGAAGGTTTGAAGCGAGTGTATCAGCCCTGCATCGGTACACACGAGCCCTTCTTCATTCTCTTCATCGTCAAGAGACCATGATCTTCCTCTGCCACCCGGAAAGTCTCGCAGGTAAATCGGCATCGAATGAAAACGATTGCTAACGTTTTTGAGACTGTTCTTCGCTGCATTCTTGCCAAATTCAATTGCCTGTCTGAGTAGATCTTCGTCGTCGGAGCCGATCGGGATTGCCTTTTTCTCTAGAAAGCCTTCAGCTGTCTCCACGGCTTTAGTAATATCCTCAGCGGAGAAAAATACACCACCAAAAAAACTCGCTTGTCTTAAATTTTTCACAAGTTGAATAAGACTCCTCCTCTGCCGATCGTGGAAAAAGTAATCCATATCAGTCCTCTGAGATTGAACCGAATTGAATATAATCATCATCGAGAAAAGGTTGAGGGACAACTGATCTTGAAAAGATCCATCTAATACTATGATTTTTTCATCAACCGGAGGTAATAAGGTGCACACATCGGTGAGTCGATGGCGGACGAGCAACGAGTTGAGCGTGTTGATTAAACAGTCCTTTCGGTTATATGTTTTGACATACACGCCCCAGTCGGCGACACTATCGCCGATCTCATTCTTAATATTAGCCCAAGGTCGGACCTTGAGATACTTGGCCGCGAGATTGCCAATACGTTGGATGTCTTCTCGCTCTTGCTTCAGTGCGATTTCGCCGTGAGGGTCTTGTGGGGGATTATGCCCGCTCGGGTCATTTGTTTCCGCAGGTTCGTAAGATTCCACGCCATACAAACCACGAGACGGAGTTCCAGTGACCACCCAGCGAGCCGAAATCTCAAGGCGCTCGATGGCTCGCATCACGTCACTCTTCCAAGACCGACTCCCATTTCCTAGTTTATGCCCTTCGTCAATGATACACCGCTTGAAGTGTATATGCTCAAGTGGGCAGTAAACATCAGCAACGTAGCCTTCACCATTGGACCGTTCCTTCTGGATGCGTTCGAAGCGGGTTTCCGAGAACAGAATCACATCATACGATAATAATTCGGTGTATGGAGGGATTGGGTCTTTATTAACAAGAACTAGAACGCTTAACCCTGTTGTGTGCTTTTTGATTTCGTTCTGCCATTGTTTGACAAGATTACTTGGGGCAATGATGAGGGTAGAATGGCTGAGAAAAACTTCTTTCGACGGGACCTCACGGGGTGCAATTCGGTTACTCCGACGAGGCTCAACGAGTGTATTTCTACGCTTGTAGAGAGCTCGGTTTTCGGATCTTTTCAAAGCTCTTATGCAACGTTGATATTCGTAACCGAATTGCGCAGCGCATGCCTCAAAGTAGGGTTTCCACTGTAAGAATTCGGGTGTCAGAGTTTACTCCCTCCCGCAAAGCTTTTTACTTAATACTAGAGGTTTTGGGGACATGCGGCAGAATGTGGGAGTGAACCTCTTCGCAAAAAAGCAAATCAAGGACGTGGGAATACGTACAGCTATCGAATGCTTATTTGCTGCAGCTGCAGCCATATCCAACAAGCTCCCTATGATTCGACGAGGAGGTGTTTCAGCGGTGAAAGGGTCCGGGGGCCTAGAGGGCTCAGATTTGGTGCTCAAGATCAAAGCAAGGCAAATCAGTGTCTTTCCCGTGCCCATTTCCTCGGCTAAAATTCCGCCTTGAACTCCATCGTAGAATCTGGGGTCCTTTAGGACGATGCCAGACACGTCGTCGCAATACCACGCTTGGCCGTCTTGGTCAGTGGCAGGGCGAAGTCGAGGGTCTACGACCCTACCTGGCTCCAGTTCGCGTTGAAGCATTGTTGCAGCCGATCTACCCTGATAGGGATAAAGTGCTGTGGTTAGGCCGGGTATCTGGCCTTCTAGGAGACATTGCATTGTCCATCGCAGCTGGGGATCTGATGCTGTATCTGGACGGGGGTCAGGCGAGGGGACCTGATTGAATAGACTAAGAAGCGAGTCCTCGGACTTGCTGGATATCACCGGTCCGTCATTATGTGCTGGCTGAGGTTGAGGTGTGTAAACATTTCTGCTCTGCCAGCATCCTTTGGAGTATTCTAATTGGCGAAGGAGAGTGGCAATCGATCTGGTTAACTCGCTCCGCGGGTTATGTGTGCCCCTATTCACATCATGAGGAAGCAGGTACACGCGGATCCTTCCAGGCACTTGGGTACTAGTCGAAGGCGCTTGAGCGGCGTAAGCCAGTTGGATCCAACCCTGGGACCAGAGTAAATGAAACGGTGCAAGAGTAGGCGATGCGAGAAGAGCGTCTTGCAATTCGGCTGGCAAGGCCAGAGGTGCAGGCAGGTGATCGGACTTCCTAATAAAAAAATACCACTGTGGCGTTTGAATGAGGGCGGGGAGGGCGGTTGACAGTGGGGAATCCGGGTCTATGTTGATGTTGGTGACCAAGCACCCGGCCGGGATATATTGACGTGTGAAAGCGTCCGCCATGGTGAGTGAGCTACCTAGACTACCGAGGTAATTGCAGTGATACGCCGAGCGTAGGTGACGGCCATCACTCTGGCACCAACTTTCGGATGATGAGATTGGACCTCGAGAGCGTAAGCGCGATCTGAGAGACTCATGAAATACAAAAGGCAACGCCACTGAGCATGAGTATTAGGGACCTGTCGATGAGTCCGTAACCAGTAGTAGCTCAGTACAAATGAGATAGAATGGAATCATTCACCTAGCCCTTGTCTGAAGGTAGATACCGTAAGGTGAACTTAGGTACGTCCCTTCCTGGTTGTTTCATAGATGAGATACCAGTCCCAGTAGGCACCACCCAGCTACCCCGGACTGATGACTCCAGCAGCCCACACCCGGATACCCCACACAGTATTCTGAAGATACACTGTACGATTACACGATACTACTCCAACCTCGATCAAAGTCTATTCCGTATATCTCTATAGAATATTATTAGGCTCTAACTTTAAAGTGTTCATTATCTACGGAGAAGAGAAAAGTGAGAGCGATATCGGAGCAATATATTTTTGTTCAAAGTGTTCTAGCGTTAAAGCTTGAAAAGTATATATACTAGAGAAATGAGGCCTCTGCCTGAATACAATAATAGAACGAGGTCCGCCTAGCCTGACTGAGGGTATCGAAGAACAGCAACAACTGGACCAAGAATTATTCTGAAACTTTTGCCGCGGCGCCTTTCAAAAGGGAATTAATTGCCATGATTTCATATTCGACAAACAAGTCTTTCGTGATCCTCATAAGGTGAATTATACATCAAGTCAAAAAACAGGGGGTGGGAGGAGAAAATGTACTAGACCAAGTAGTCCAACCCGCAGCTTGGCGTTGCGGCAGCATTATCCTGAGTATAATAC